TGAAAAGGGGCCTTTTATACGAGAGGATTGGGGAGTGAAAAAAAGGGGAAAACGGGCATATTTTTTTTTTGCCATTCCAAATTCCAAATTCCACCTTCTTGAGGATAAGGTTAAGGAACTGTAATAGTACTGATCTTCAACGGAACTTTGAGGGGAGCCGTCCGATTTGAAGAGCAAGGACGATCGAAGCACGAGATTTCGACACCTAAATGAGTGTCAAAACAATTTTGTACTAGAAGAAAGGGAAGAGAGACTCGACTGGATTTGATGGACTCGGGTCTGGGCTATTGGAATCGCTGGTTTGCAGCGTTTCTGGGTTTCAACCAAATTGAGGTGATAGGTTGAATTTGGCCGAAATTAAAATAAGACAAATTAATGTTAATTAATTAACGAGCTTCTTAATCTTAACACAATAAAATAATTAACTTAATTATAAACTAAATTATTTCTGAAAAATATAATCGTAACTTAAACTAAACTAATTTGATAAAATATTTAAACAAAACAAAATCTTTTTTTTCGAGATGATTTTCGAATATTAATAAAATGTACTAATTATATATAAAATTATCTAAAACACATATACTATTTTAATTTTTTTTATAAGAAGTGACAAAAATATTTAAAATAACTTGCAAACTATTTTTGAAATTTTGTAAAACTAATTATTTTAAATCGTTTAAATTGAAGAAGCTCGATGATTAATGTATATTGTGGAGGTCCAAAATTGGATGTCAACAACTGTCCCTCATTTGACTTGGATTGTGACTTGGATTGATGAAAGAAATCCAAGGCAAATTTGACAAATCCAATTTTGACCAACCACATGTCCATCTTTTGGAAAAAGGGATTTTGGTACGGCCTTTAGGAATCATGGCCGAACCCCGGAAATGGGTTTCCTACATATTTCAAGCTATATGAGAATTCAGGCCACTTGTAGTTCGATACGCTTGATTTGACGCACGATTTTGAAAGAATTCAAAAGTTATCCCGATATCAAATTACAAAGAAATTAGAATGCCCGGGACTAAGATTTGAGAGAGATTGTCAGAATACAGTTGAGTTTTCAACATTGAGCCCGTCTACATATCCTTTAACCTAAGGAATCAGGTTGTGTGTAGTTCGACTCAATCAGTTGAAATGGAAATCTAGTATGCAAGATAACCTTTGGTTGGAAAGAGTGACAAATAAGTCGAGTTACGAAAAAGAGGCTTGCAAATGTCTTAACCATGAATGCGGGGCCCTTCACACCCTTAATTAAGAACTTACATGGACATAATTCTCAAAGTTCTTGGTGCCTTGCCACTTTGATTAGAAAGTTGCTTTCGGTGAAAACCCAAAATTTTTGGATGCGAAACTGAAACTGATAAATCTAAAGAAAAACCCACATGCCTTCTGATAGGGGTATGGTTTGATTGTGGTGGAAGTCGCTTCTCTGCTCGCGTTCTAAGAGTTTGGCACTCCTCTTCGGACTATGTCCCAGTTCGCTGCTAAGAAAAGGTTCCACGTTATGTTGTACCCTTGTTGATGTCATCCACACCTGTGGTTTGATTTGAGAATTCATCCTCTTGGATGCTCTCGACAAAAGACTGAGATAAAACTCATTAGCATAAAAATGTAATTCAAATGGAGAGATAGCGTCTTTTACCATGTTGACACTTAGTCGCTCTCCTTGAACATTTAACGTCAGTTCCTTCATCTTGATGTTAGGCCAATAAAACTTGTATCTCATATTTGTAATATAATTCTTCGAATATACTCTTTCTTTGATATCGAAATAATAAAATATAGACTAATGTAATATGTTGATGGCTCTCTTGATGACGTTCTTACGAATGAAAATAATGATGATGACTTTTCATTGGTAAGATGACGATAATGATAGAATGATATTGCTCAATCGATAGGATGATGATGATGCTAGGATGATGCTGCTCCATCGATAGGATGATAAAGATGCTTCATTGATAGGATGACGATGATCCATTGGTAGAGTGATGTTGATCCATTGGTAGGATGATGATGATGCTCCATCGATATGATGATGATGTTGATGCACTATTGATAGGATAATACTGATGAAGATCCATTGATAGGATAATGATAATAAAGAACCGTCGATAGGATAATGATGATGATGAAGAAGATTCGTCGGTAGGATAATGTTGATCCATTGGTAGGATAATGATGATGATAGAATGATGTTGCTCCATTGATAGGATGATGATGTTGCTCCATCGATAGGATGATGATGTTGATGCTTCATTGGTAGGATAATGATGCTTCATTTATAGGATGATGATGATCCATTGGTAGAGTGATGTTGATCCATCGGTAGGATGATGATGCTGATAAAAAAGATCCGTCGATAGGATAATGTTGATTCATTAGTAGGATAATGTTGATGATCCATTGGTTTATGTTGATCCATTGGTAGGATAATGATAATGAAGATTCGTCGGTAGGATGACGTTGATCCATTGATAAAATGACGATGATGTCCCTCTAGATTATGGTATTGTCTCATTTGATAATCTCCAGGAATGTCCATTCGGGTGGTAAAAACGATGTCTCTCTGGGTAGTTCACATTATCGCATTCGATATCGACGAGATTTGTGCATATTCCTCAAAGTTCTTGATGTGGAGAAATGTCATCTCGTTTCAACGAAGATGCTTGTATATGTTGAGAGTGATGCTTTCACTTGTTCCCATTTTGAACACTTTGTTTTCGTTGTGACTCATGTTTTGCTGGGAATTTAAACGAGGTGTTGTTGCTCGTATTCAGAACTCTTTCTTTTTCTCCTTTAATGACTTTCTTGCATCCACAAAAAGTTGTCAATTTTGGGGAGTTTCTCGCCATTTTGACTTCTCCATAGTCGTTGAATGGAGAAATACGATGAACTCAAGGCAATCTTATAGACCTGCATCCACAGAAAAATTGTTAGTTTTTTAAAACAAACTGATATCTGTTGACTTCTTCAATCGCTTTCTCCATGTCTTGCTATCTTCAGTTGATCGCTCTGATCTCTTGCTTCTCAATAGACAAAAAAAAACATTTTATGCAAAAATATCTGAAACATATCAATAAAATCTTTAAGAAAAAGGTTTTCAAAAAACTGTAATTGAAAAATGTCACTGCCAAATCTCATGTCACGTCAAGCTTAAGTGAACATCCTTGGTTCGAAACTTTGGTGTGTCCGATAGCTTATTCCGGAGAATTCAAAAATCCTTAAAGCTTGGGAAATTTCTGACATGGTTCTCCCGAAATCTACTATAATCGAGAAGTTTTGTAGTCGACTTTGAAATCCAACGATTCGGGAGATTGTTGAAGTTGCCTATGAACTTTAACGATGCCATAGATCATTTGAAGTTAGTTTTAAACTTCTAATCATGCTCGAAATATTCAAAGTGGACTTCAAACTTCTAGTGATGTTTGAAGAAATTTTTTAGGCCATCCTAAAAATTTCTTTCCCAGTTAGATGTCTTGGAGTACCTCGAACTGTTGATATATGACTTGTAGAATTTTTGAGACCCTCTCAAAAATTCTATCCCAGATGCAACTCTCAATGTATCTCTAGTCTCGACTTATTGGAAAGATCCTCTTCTCGAGAATTTTTAAGTCCCTCTCAAAAATTCTGTCCCAGTTTCTATTGTAAAGGAAAATAGAACTCTTACGGGAGATATGATCGAGCCATTGTGGCGCCTACGTATCCCGTTGAAGCAGGAATCAGGTCAAACGTAGTTCCCTTCTCGAGGATTAACAAAAATAGGAAATTAAACGAGGAAATGATCGAGGCCGACATAGGCCACCTACGTATCTCATTCTTGAGAATTCAGGTCGAACATAGTTCAAGTACAAAACGAAACATTAAAAAGGGATAAAAGGATGACCGAGGCCGACATAGGCCGCCTATGTATCTCATTATTTAGAATTCAGGTCAGACGTAGTTCATTACAGAGGGATAAATTCTAAGCATGAAGGATTACAAGCAAATAAAGGCGGTTACAAGGAAAAGAAAGAAATTGAATCTTCAAACATGGTATCTTTTAACAACATTTAAGTAGATTGACGACTTGTGAGATCCAATGTTCATGCTCAACCATGTAATGTCATCAAACGAATGTATCAATGTGTTCTTTAAGCAAATTGATGAGTTCTCTCTCCTGTGCTTTTGTCAGATAGGCACCAATTTTGATTTCTTTGATGCATTCATCATTTTCCTGATTCACTAATCTGATCTCTTCTGAATTCGGCTCATCGTGACTCTCGAACTATTTAGATTCCTCAACCAAGTGTTTAGGTACCATGATTATTTCATTGTAGTCCTCAAATTCGTCTGCACCTACCCCATTTTGTTCATTCAGCTTGTGACAGGACATGCTATTGGCAGATTTGAAAATATTTTCACTGAAATCATAGACAAATATTATTAGATAGCAAATATAAGGCAAGTAAAGAAAATTTCTGCATTAAATGAGGTTTTCATTTGAAACAAGAAAATTAGAACTTTGGCCATGACGATAAATCATTTTATCTTTTCAAAAATGAGGAGGGAGATTAAAGCATAGTGAGGCAAAAATAGAGTAAAAGATAGGTCTCGAGCCTCATTCAGAACACCACCAATTTTAGAAATAACATAAAAGAATGTTTATGTCTACCAAGACGAGCGAAGAATCAAGAGCGAAATGGATGTCCAATTAGGCATTTTCTCCTTTTACTCGTTGTTTGGTATGACTGGTGTCTCGATCATCTCTTCAAGCACAATATCACCTTCTTTGAACAAATTTTTGATTTCTTCCCCTAGACCATTTTGCATTGGAAAAAACCGATATAAGTGAGGCAATGATTTTGGAAAAGCTTGATCGATCTTCTGCTTGCTTTGACCCTCTTTTGGCACTAAAGCAAAAGATTGATGAGGTGCCATGATCACAAATTTGAATTTCTCTCTTTTGATTGGAGAGGCTACAACTTTCTCAAGCTTTTCAAGGTTGGCTGAGATTATACTTTCTTCACATTCAAATCTTCTTCGACTTCAACCATATTAAGAGTTACCCCTCCCTGATTCGACATGGGCTTACTATTGACATTAGGAGTGGCAGTCTGAAGAGTGATGACCTTTTGATCTATCAAGTCTTGAATTTTATGCTTCAAGTTGATACAATCCTCAGTAATATGCCCAGCACCTCTTGAATGGTAAGCACAATGAAGATCGGGTCTATAAAGCTTGAAGTTGACATTGATATTTTTTGGATCAATTGTCTGTATCAGGTCAGCTGATTTCAATCTTTCAAAAAGTTGTGTTCGGCTCTCAACCAAAGAAGTAAAGACTCTAGAAGATTTCTTCTCAAGATTTGGGCGAGGAAGATTGTAATTATTTCCTGGATGTGAAGGTATTTGACGGTAGTTTGGAGGATTTTGGTAAGTTGGTGCTTGTGTTTGGAAATTTGGGTATTGTGGAGCTCGGTAGCTAGAAGGGGTATTTTGGTAGTGCGGGGGTGGAATTTGGTAACTTGATTGGATATTTGAACAATTAACTGATGGAGCTTGGTAATATGGATGGGTATTTTGGTAATGTGGATGTGGAGTCAGGTAAACAAGAGATGGAATTTGGTAGCTCGCTGGTGGAGTTTGGTAATTAGGAGGTAAAATTTGGTAACTCGGTGGTGGAGTTTGATAACCTGATTAGGTATAACAAGCTGGATACAAATTTTGTGGAGCTCAAGGATAAACTATGTAAGGTGAGGATTTTTTAAAGTGTTCTTTTCCATCAGATGCGCAGGAAATAGAAGACACGTCCTCTCTCTTCTTTTTCAACAATCTTGAAGATTCGGTTGGGGCGGCAATGCGAGAAATCTTTTCGGTTTTAATCCCATCTTCGATAGCCTCACCTACTTTGACTATCTCTGCAAATTTTGCTCTAATGAGCAACATTATCCTGTCATAATACTCTGGTTCTTGAATGCGTATGAACACTTCAATGATTTTCTCTGACATAGAGGGTCGAACCCGAGCGGCCTCTTTCCTCCACCTATACGCATATTCATAATAGCTTTCAGTGGATTTCTTCTTTATTCTCTCCAAAGAATAGCGATCAGGAACAATCTTCACATTGTAGGCGAACTGTTTGACGAAATCTTTAGCTAGTGCATTCCAGCTAGACCACTGCTTTGTCTCATGGGAGGTAAACCATTCCAACGCTTCTCCATTCAAACTTCGGCTAAAAAGCCACATTAATAAAGCTCCATTCCTTCCAACTCCCACGAGCTGGTCACAGTAGGCCCCCAGGTGCGCCAATGGATTCCCTGTTCCTCTGAAAGTGTCAAATTTTGGCACTTTAAACCCTTCCGAGAGGTCCAGCTTCGGATGGATGCACATATTCTCATAACTCAACCCATCGACTTTAGGATTATAGTGTAGCTCCTTCATGACTTTCTTGATCTCTTCTTTCATATTCAGCTTGGTTGCCTATTCCTTTGACCTTCACTCTCTCTCATGTTCCTCATAGTGATCAAGCTCGGAACAGTTGGCATAGGGTTCATTTGGAATTGGAATTTGAAAAGTAGTCTTTTGAGGCAATGGCAGAGCAACGGAGGGATTCTGGGTATTTTGAGTGGCTTGATAATTTTGGGGGAAAGTCTGGGGGTTGGCATGTTGATTTTGGTGATGGGGGAAGGTTTGCGGATTGTTAACATTTTGATTTTGAGGGGGAGGACAAGTTTGCGGGTTGGTGTTTTGAGGAGGAAGTGGCGCTTGGTAAGAAGCGGAGGCGTGGGGTGGATTTGAGGTGGTTAGATCTGTAACGACCCGAGAGCACCCCCTAGTAGTTAACGGCGTATTCAACCTCTCGGAGGTCTTATACAAGCCCTTAGCATTCGTCATAGCATTTATCATAGAAAAATAGCGGAAAATTTAAAACTTTTTCATAATATAACACACGACATAAAAGTCACCTCATTAAACCTTTAATACAAAATCGGAATACTACGTCTCAAGGTAGCCATCTTAAAACATGACTACAACACAAGAGGGGCATAGCCCTTACAATACAAAAGAAACTACTATCTAGTACATAGAACTTAAGGAAACTCTTTAACATAAAGGTCCTTGAATCTTTAAGGACACACCCGAACTTGGGAATAGTAAGCCAAGCTCATCACTTCTAGGAAAGACCCTTTAGTCACCATCAC